ATGCTTACAGCTGGCAGTTGCATTATAAAGTAAATCTCATTATTTTGAAGATTTAAATATAAGAACCTTCTGCCTCATATCGAATATTCTGGTAGATAGAATTCAGGCACAGATTCGATCGGTTGATAGAAAGATTATTGTATTTTCTCTGAGTTTGAATAAACAATGTAAAGCATCTCAAGTATTACCATTTATAATTATTGCAAGCTACGTCCCCAGGGCTTCCCTTCAGGGTAATGGTAGCCATACACACTACGAGAAATCGTTACGATCAGACTATACAGTTCGAACGTAACAGTTTATCGTACGTGGCGTACGTATAGGAAACTGTGCAGTTTTATAACATACACACTACGATTTATCGGTACCGTTCGAACTGTACAGTCTGATCGTAACGATTTCTCGTAGTGTGTATGGCTACCATAAGCCCTACAGTACCTAGTGATGTGTGTATAAAATTTTCTGGATTTCAATAAAATTGGCGGTAACAAAGTAATGTAATGTAAAACAATGAATATGTACACTTATTTTTTACCTTTCACACCGTTGATGCCTTCCGAAATAAAGAATAAATAAATATTTCCAACACTCACACCAATTAGCCTAGCCCCAAAGTAAACACTGTAAGGCTTGTGTTATGGGATACTAGGGTAACGGATAGAATAAATATACTGTACATATATAAGTATATTTATATAGAAATAAACATTTTACATCCATGACAGGAATACAAATGCTCGTATTCATCACACAAACATTTGCCCCCACCGGGATTCGAACCCGGGACCTCTCGAGTCAGTGACACCATGAAACCCGGCGTACAAACCATTCGGCCACGGAGGCGTCATTGCAAATTTTATTGATTTCTAAGGCAATTACTATCAAATTAATAATAAATTAATTAAGTATTATGTCGACTTCACCTACTCGCTTAGTGACTAATTCTAGTGTACGGAAGTGTTATTACAATTCTTGGTCCATGTCAACTTTAGATTTTTGGGAGCACCACAGGAACTTACAAAAAATCCGGGATAATAAGAGAATCTTTTGTCTCAATCCTGGTCTTAAACTATATGCGTACCATATTTCATCCAAATCCGTTCAGTAGTTTTTGCGTGATTGAGTAACAAACATACAAACACACAAGTTTTCACATTTGTAATATAAGTAGGATTTTTCATGATTTTTCCAATAACTAAAGTGGATATTCCTATCAGTATTTAAGCACCTACGCTATCTAAAAATCCGAAAGAAATATTTTTAGAAATATTTTTATCCATTAGCCTCAGGTAATTTTGCGAGAGCTTGGTAAGTACAAGCTTTTATTTAGTCTATAAAACAGGCACTTATAAAAAATGGTATAAAGATATTAATAAAGTGAGGGAGGTACCCAGGCAAGTCTTATCTTGTCCTCTACTTTGCTAATAAACAATAAAATGTCTAGACATTGTTTTGATGTACCTAGTAAATTAATACTTCTAGCAATCAGCAAAATAGAATATCGCATGGAATCGTGAAAAAGAATTGTATCCCATGATGAATTCTTTATGACAGTAAATGGTAAACATAAAAGACGATACTAGGAGACTATCTGTGATTACATCAGTATTTCTAAAATATAATTTAAAATCTAAAGAAAATATAACTAGAAAAAATTCCACGCGGACCAGGCAGCAGACGGGACTCGAAATCGCACCCGTCGCAATCCGGGCGAATGCACTGACCAATTATTATGCTACCGCGGCCCTCACAGATCGCGTCGAAATTCTTCTAGCCATTCTTAAGCTGCAAGGCAGCGCCATCTCTTCGCATTATAGGTAACACACAATGTCAAATGAATACTTTTACAAGTACCATTAAACATTTGAAAAAAGAAATAGCGATTATAGTTCGGTTCGGGTTCGAGTCCCGTCTGCTGCCTGGTCCGCGTGGAATTTTTCCTAGTTATATTTTCTTTAGATTTAAACATCAAGCAGTTACATGCTTTAAAATAATAAAAATTATAACTATAATTTAAAAGATTAAAAATGTGAAAAAATAAAGTTTCGGAGCCTATTCAATATTTTTTTTATAAAATTAGTATAGATCATTCATTTTATAATTTAGCTTAATTATAAATTCGTCTGATAATTAAAAACCTTAGTAAAAAAAAACACGTGACTTTGTCTGCGAAAAAAAATGACATGTTACCATACAAACATAAAAATAACATGCTCGTAAACAAACTTTAAAACCATTAGGTATATGCTCTGATGGCAACATCAGCATCATGCTGAGTTGGGACCAATTTGAGACAAAAAATGTAGTTATAATTTTTATTATTTTAAAGCATGTAACTGCTTGATGTTTAAATCTAAAGAAAATATAACTAGAAAAAAATTCCACGCGGACCAGGCAGCAGACGGGATTGCCTATAATGCGAAGAGATGGCGCTGCCTTGCAGCTTAAGAATGGCTAGAAGAATTTCGACGCGGTCCGTGAGGGCCGCGGTAGCATAAGTGGTCAGTACAAAAAATGTAGCTTTGTGTTTTTTTTTTTTTTTAACACACCAATTAGCCTAGCCCCAAAGTAAGCACTGTAAGGCTTGTGTTATGGGATACTAGGGTAACGGATAGAATACATATACTGTACATATATAAGTATATTTATATAGAAAATACATATTAAACATCCACGACTGGAGTACAAATGCTCGTATTCATCACACAAACATCTGCCCCCACCGGGATTCGAACCCGGGACCTCTCGAGTCGGCGACACCATGAAACCCGGCGTACAAACCACTCGGCCACGGAGGTCGTCGTTTTGTTTATATATTCATTTACCTTTGTTTTGAAATAACTTTCTTTCTATCTTTTTTGCAACAAAAAGTGATTTCTACCTTTCTTGAAAGTCCTCTCAATTTCTATACTATAATTCATACAAATCTGTTCAAGTGTGAAAACAAAATAGGCAAAGTTATTTTGCACATTTTATGATAAGAAATAAGTATGCAGAGTTACACAGTTTTTCCATCTAACTTCTAATTGTTTTAACTGATTAAATTGTGACACTAAAATACGACTACAAAGATTGTTTTCAAACTTTTAATTTGAATGCAATTAGTATTCAACCCACAATAGAAGCTCTGTGAACTTTTGGTAGTTTTGGAATTTGAAAGGTTTAATCTGTGAGAAAATTAATTTAAAATTACGACCATTTTTAATTTGATTAAGAATAATTTAATTAAGTTGTCACTATCTATGAAGTTTTTTGCGTTTGTTAATGAGAACTTTGTGCATTTTTTTAATATAAAAAGATATTTGTGTGCACTGACCACACATCTAAAGTGAAACTTCTTTTCTTAAATAACCTAACATTAGGTGGTGCATAGAGGAATGGAGCCGCGCACGCATCACGTGTGTCGCGTGTGACGTGACGCTCGTAGTGATTCAGCCTTCGCCGATTTACCCTACAACTTTCATACTCGTCGGACAGAGTTGCGCGCACACATACACACTCATAGACACACATACACGCACACACACACACACACACATATACCGACCTATCCATAGAATAAAGCTACTTCTGCATAATCACAACTTTACAGTAGAGCGATTTTAAGTTTGTAAAATGTAAATTATCCTGTAATTGTATTGATATTTTTCTATCATTAGATTTTTTTTACTAATCATATAAAGCATTAAGAAGCAAATTATGACGCATTTATTAAAAAAAAAAACTACATTTACGGCTTATATTTCGATATTTAAGAGTTCCTTATGTGATTATGTGACAATTTACTACGGATATCTTTATGTTACAGATGTAAACATTTCAGACCTTATGCTTGGGAAACGCGTCAAATTATGTGTAGATATAACTTTGTTTTACGTTATTTATATTTTCTGTCGCGTCACAATATGATAATATGGCAAACACACACACACACACACACACGCACACGCACACGCACACGCACACACGCACACGCACACGCGCACGCGCACGCACACGCACACGCACACGCACACGCACACGCACACGCACACGCACACGCACACGCACACGCACACGCACACGCACACGCACACGCACACGCACACGCACACGCACACGCACACGCACACGCACACGCACACGCACACACACACGCACACACACACACACACACACACACACACACACACACACACACAAAAGGTAAACCGAGGTGAACAAACATGTTGCACGCAAGCGACCAGCATAATCTTGCGCCACCTTCCTCTCACCCTCATCATCATCAACCTATTGATGTCCCCACTGTTGGGGTACAGACCTGTCAGGACCAACGGCTTAACGTGCCTTCCGAAGCAAGGAGGAGCTCGAGATAAAAGGTTTTTGGTCACCCATCCAATGACTGACCACTGTGAAAGTTGCTTTATTTCAACGTTTCGCGGTTACCATTTGCGTCATCGAGCTCTTCAACTTTTAATATATTCTTATATTATATAGTTGAAATTGTGACGTGGCAAAGTAAGTGTAGCTTTGTGTCTCAAGTGTCTAAGCAAATAAAGAGCAATAAGTGGAATTTAGATTATACATCATACAGACGTTATTTTGTTCAAGCGCGGAAGTGAGAATGGGTTGGTGTGCTTCGAAATTTAACGCAAAATTAATATTTTATGAAAGGATATTTCAAGAGAAGGACGTCATGGTGTAAGAAACAAGTATATACTTAAGTGCGAACTTAATTGCAGTGCCTATTACAACAGAGAGGCTTATCGAGAAAGCTGGATACAACTTAAAAATTGGTGTTACACCCGTAGTCTAATGTAAAATAAATGATATTAAAGACGACGCTAAATAGACAATATCTTTGGTTTTCTTAACGAAAGATTTTATGTTACGTTTTTATTTTTTAAGCATTCAACTGCTAGATGTTTAAATCTAAAGAAAAGTTTTAATAGAAAAAGATAAAGATTTTAACCAGATAATAAAGATTTTAACCACAAAAAAGTAGGAAGTAACAAGCTCACCTGTTTCAGTTCCTTCTTGATAGCTCTCGTGATGTCTATGCTCTTCTTGCGAAGTCGTTTGACGGCCACGATGTTTCCTCTGTACAGTGCGACGGTGGTGTGAGCCCGTTTGGTGTCGATCTCCTGAGGCAAGTTGGGCTAGACAAAAGAATTACTACTTCAAGCTATAAGTTTAGAGATTTCGCGCAGACAGGGTATAGTGTTTAACAGCCTAAATATGTATGTATGTTCGTTTGTGACACACTAGAGACCAAACGCGTGGACCGATTTTGATGATTCATATGTGGGATGTGGGATGGGATGAATGGTGGGAGAAGAAATTTTGATGAATTTTAGTGTCGCTGTCGCTCACCTTGTCATTGCTGCAAGTCGATATGTAGGTCAGGTCCTTCGCTTCGATCCTCCATAGCACTGACGCGAGCTTTTGCTCGTATCTGTAGTGGCGCACTAGTAGCGCTGCTGCCAGGAGCGCAGCAGCTACAACGGCTGCCACAGCGGATAACACGACGGGGTCATGGGGCAGAGAGCACTTCGCTCCGCTGAAACCGCAGGCCGGTTCAGCGACTGGCGGCTGTCCCCCTATCCAGGCTATGTCTTGGCCGCCGACCAGTTCCTGACACATATAAAATAGGCATAATGAGTACAATTTCGTGATTTGTGTTGAATACTGCAGTTAGTTTGTATAAAATGTTTAATAGTATCAACTGGCAACTCCAATGTAAAATACAATTTCGAGTTAGATAAACAATTTTTTTTTCGATCACTACTTGTGCAATACAGCCACAATTTTCAAACTTTTGAGAAAAATATGCGGAGCGACGTAAGTAATCTTTAAGACAGAGTGGCCAGATCTGTCTGATCTGTGAATTATATACGGATTGTAACACGCGTCATGTTTATCTTTACCTACCGGCAGCAAATCCGAAGAGTTTGCATAGCGGAAGGTGGCCACCGGCTGCGCGCTCCATCCGCCTGGGGCTGCGTCATCAGCAACTAGGCCGATGACTGTGAAGTTGCCTTCAGCATCGCCGGCGCTGTCCATATTTATCTATGGACAAAGAAAAATATTTAAGGCCTCCATGGTAACATTAGTTATATCGTATGTACCTGCCAAAAAAACTATAAATTCAAATATAGAAATCATAGAGCAACACAGCCGACGCGGCTAAGAGGGGAGTAGCCATAATGACATAATGCCGCTTTTTGCGGGGGGAGGAATATGCACACAAATGCAGTCCAACAAACTTTCGCAAAAACGAAATTGTAATAACGACGCTCACACATGAAAAATGACAGCGCTAAATCGGGCATAGATGAAACTTAAGATTTTTTATTGACAGATCTGAAAATTTTATTGATGAGTCGATTGTTTTGTTTTGACGATTGATTTTTATCAAAATAGGGGAAACCACCCAATCATTGGCACTCGTCCTATTATTGGCACTTTTGAGTTTAATTCGAAAAAAACAAGGAGACAATAGATTATTCAAGGTCGTTACATATTAAAAAGAAAACCCTAGTATGGTTACGAAATTTGAAAATTGGCAGCATTATTCCTATAATCAATTGTTTCCTGGTTTTTTCGAACTGCCAATAATAGGAAGAGTGCCAATGATTGGGTAGTTTCCCCTACTAATATATAGCGGTTAAATAGAATAAAAGGTGGGGATGGCTGGAGCGGCATACCTTCTGAAGCATCATTTGTCTTCGCGACTGGATTCCACTTACACTTAACATCAGGTGGGGTGGACTAATTTGTTGCGCCACGTATTAAAACTATAAGGCAGGAACGTAGCCAAATACAATATTTTTGGTCACCCATTCAATGGTAGGCCTTCTCAAGAGTAGCTTAACTTCCACAAACGTGGTAGCCAGTGTGCTATCTCTGTCAAAATACTAATTATAAAAACTTAATATCATGGTTTAGGTACCTTGTAAAATCTATTTTATTACGTTGTTTATAGTCCTCAAAGAGATTGCCCAAAAATAACCCAGACAATTCGCGAACGATTAATTTCTAAGTATAGTAGATGTTAGAGAACTGACAAAAATTATATTAAGACTAACACGGTATATTAATGGACAACTTATAAGTAGTTATTTTCCTGTTCAATTATTTGGTCTATAAATAATATTTTGTTAAGAAAGCATCTAATACTAAGTCGTCAAGCAAACAAATTAAATGTTTACCACTCAATAGATGAATGATAATAAATGAGAATAATAAGTATAAAAAATCTTTTTCTCTTTTCAAAAACAACAATTTCCATCCATCCATCCATCAGCCTCTCTCCGTCCACTGCTGGACATAGGCCTCCTCCATAGAACGCCACAATGCGCGGTCCTGCGCTATCCGCATCCAGCGGCTCCCAGCACATTTGACGATGTCGTCAGTCCACCTTGTTGGGGGCCGCCCCACGCTGCGTCGTCCGGTACGTGGTCGCCACTCGAGGACCTTTCTTACCCAACGGTTGTCGAATCCTCGAGCGATGTGGCCTGCCCATTGCCACTTCAGTGTGCTAACTCTTCCGGCTATGGCGTACACACCGGTCCTTCTACGGATCTCCGTATTTCGAATCTTATCACGTCGGGAAACACTGAGCATTTATTTATAGACCATCAACACAGCTATATTAATAAAAACAAACTTACACATATGCTTAAGTATTAGGATATAATATAACCAGGGGCGGTCTTAGCTAAACTTTTCAGTGGTGCGAGATCTTATGGTGGCGCCCCAGTTTACATAGACACGTAAAAAATAACATAGGTACCTAATTAATTTTACGTTTATGTTCTTTATTCCGTGTAAATGTTTTTGATGAGAAGAAGACAATAAAGGAAATGAATCACTTTTCTTGCCTTTGCGCTTGCGAACTTTTTTATTAAATCGGAATAATTTAATCCTTGGGCAATGTCATTTTCTATTGATAGAATTGTAAGATCTGACAGTCTTGCTCGACACGTTGTCGAAGGTAAGTACGTTTTAATTGGTTTAAATTTCAAGTCAGTAAAATCCGAAGCCCTGTCCACATATTCGGGAAAATATCCTGCCATTTTTTTTTAATATATTGAAGGACTTTACTGGCTCTGCAGATTCAAGGTTTTTTAATAATGGATTCAGGCTCAAAAGTTCTTCAACCAATTCACAACTAGCAACATCACATTTTTCCCCATCGGTTAAAATCATTTGCAAATCTGCACAGGCTTTTTCTAATAAAGACTTATCAGGAATTATTTTGATGTTATACAAAAAAGACCATGTACATGGATAACACTGAAAAAGTTTAGAACTGACCAGTTAGAAACATTGCTAATGAAAACTTTTTTGAATTTCAATTTTAGAACACTTTGGTAACCTAATGTATATTATATATATATTGCATTCATTTATCATTTGTTTTTGTGAATTGGCGGCAAATCTAAAACTCTTGTTACACGTGAAAATGAACCTAACGCGAGAAATTTTTCGGTCAATGATTTATTATGACTTTCGTTGTGGGCTTACTCAACAACAAAGCTATGATAGGCTGCGATTAGCATTTCTTAATGAAGCCCTTAGATTAAAACAAAAAGGGTAGGTACGGCACTAGCCTCACAAAAGTGATCCGCATGAATTGTGGTCCACGACCCTAATCGCTTTAATCACAACTTGACAACTTGCAAACGACGTACATGTGAATGCCAAAAAGAAATATTGCTAATATTTTGTGTTTATATGATAAAACAATGCCTAAGTGTGTTTTTAAAAACTGCTCAAATTGCTCAAGAACTAAAAATAAAACCCACGGCATCACTTTTCATTCGTAAGTACAATAAAATATATTTTTTCATAAAAATTGCTGTTTGTTTTGAATCTTATTCGGTAGTGACGTCGAGTACTGGTCGCGTGATTGGTCGGTAGTGCAGTGACGCGATAACATACTGTTTCGTTCGGGTCTCGATCGGGTATCGATCTCGCCGTTCGCGCTGCCTTGGGATCAGTTTTTGTTTGATGCAAGTATGAGCGTACCGTATCTACCCTTTTTGTTTTAATCTAAGATGAAGTCCCATCTCGTGCCACTATTTACAATTGGTTTAACGAGTTTAAGCGTGGACGTAGCAATCTCAATGATGATCCGCGTGAGGGACGTCCTTTAACAGCGAGTACTGAAAATAACATCAGTGCTGTGCGTGGCATGATAGAGGAAGATAAGAGAGTGACCTATCAGCAAATACTGGCAAGCCTAGGCATTGGTATGAGTCAAGTTCAATAAATATTACTCGAAAATTTAGGCGTCTGGAAGCTTTGTACCAGATGGATTCCCCATACTTTAACCGACGACTAGAAACACCTTCACATGGACTAATGTCGCTAAATGTTAGATTAGTTCAAGGGCGATGACTCAAATGCTGTATTTGACATCGTCACAGGCGATGAAAGCTGGATATATTGCTACGAACCCGAAACCAAAAGATAATCAGCCCAGTGGGTGATTTCTTTCGAGGATCGGCCAACTAAGGTAAAGAAAGGAAGGACTCAAGGAAAAAAGATGATTGCCTAATTATTTGGTTGGAAAAGTCGTTTCGCGACAGTTGTGCTAGAAGATGGAAGGACAGTTACTGCAGACTGCTATGTCAATCGCTGTTTGCCCGTTGTCTTGGAAAAAATTCGACAGCAGCGCCCTCGAAGCAGGATCCTCCTTCATCACGACAATGCTTTAGCGCACTCCGCAAAACGGACTGTTGAATATATGACTATGGCAGGTGTCGAGATAATGAGTCATCCGCCATACAGTCCTGACTAGGCGCCCTGCGATTTTCATTTATTCCCAAGAACTGAAGATAAAATTCGAGGTATTCGCTTTACGAGCCCTGAAGATGCGGTGAAAGCGTACGAAAATGCCATAGAAGAGGGTCTCTTCTATGGAAAAATGGGCCCACTGCTTTTCTCAGTGGTTCCATCGAATGCGACGATGTGTAGAGAGGAACGGAGATTACTTCGAAAAACAATAAAAGTATTGGCAACTTTCTACAGTAAGCCGTTTTTTATTTTCTAATAATTTTCAGTGTTACCTAGGTATCATTGAATTTGGATAATTGTCCAAACCGAGTGACCAATGCATTTTCAATTGTGTCTATCATAGGATAAAAGACGTTAATTTTAAACAGTTCTTCGGGATCTGTTGGTGTTTCATCTGCAGCTTCTAACTCAAATAATCGCTTCTTTCTCCGGGATCGGACTGGCTTAAACGTCGGATCTATACCTGCCTCAGAAGCTATTTCCTTAGCTGTTATTTGAGCAGACGAATAAGTCCGGTATTGCTTCACAAATTCCGAGCAGTTTTTCAGCAATTGCTATGCGTTTAATAAATCCATAGTTTCAGACTGCATAGCTTTACTTACATTGTTTACTTGAAACAGTATATCATACCAAGCCACCAATGTAACTAAGAATTCAAATTGCTCCATATTCTGAATCAGTGACAAAGCCTCTGATGCAGCAACTGAATCATTCGTTTCTTCGGGAAGATTCAAAAGAGCATCACGAACTCAACAGTAATTGTAGCGAACAGAAGCAAGGCTAGAAACTCTACTCTCCCAGCGAGTTTCGCAAACTTTTTTAGTGATAGTCCTTCTATGTGTTTGGATATGACTTCCCACCTCTTTGTTGATCCAGAAAAAAATACAAGTAGTCTTTGGAGAAATTCAAATAAAGAGACTGCATCTGCAGTCTGCACCACCAAATTGAAGCTGTGACAGCCACATGGGTTAAAAAATGCTCGAGGATATTGGTTCAGAATTCTGGTTTGGACACCTTTGTTTATTCCTACCATGTTGGCACCATTATCGTACCCTTGACCTCGACAATCGTTCATATCCAAGTCAACTTCATGCACAAATTCATCAAGAAAAAGGCCAGTGTGCCCTTCTGAAGAATCACTTACCGGCTTGTAAGTAACGAAACACACTCGTACTTTCACTTCTTCTCCATTAGTGTCAACAAAACGGAAAGTTATTGATTGATAATTAATTGTTCATCAGGAGTGCAGTCCAGTATGATAGAGA